CCCCCCCGGCCCAAAAAAAAAAAAAAAAACTCCCTAAACTTCCTTCTAAATGTGTGGTGTTTTAACAACATATTCTCAAATCTAAAAAGACATGGACCTCATCTAACCTTGGATGAATCAATGCACTATAGGGCAATGATTTGACATTACCCCTGTAAGAAGCTCCTACCCAACTCCCAGATACCAATCCTCCAACTCAATAGAAAAAAGAAACCTATCCAATCTTGTCAAGTGCCTTTAGGGCCTTGAAGATCCAAACAAGATTGTTAATGAGACCAAGATGCAAGTTTCAAGTCTTATTTCTTTAGGTGAGGCTGGATAACTAGGAACAATTTGCACAAAGAAAAGTTTCAAAGATAAATTAGGATAGACCCCATGTTTTCTTAGCTATGCCATAGATAAAATAAAGGAGAAAGGAGGTTGTGAGCGTAAACACTGAAGCTTTAATGAAATTGTTGGTATAGTTCTACCTTCACAAAATCGGTCATTAACATACTTATCTTCTTTTGGATAAGTATATGTGTATTGATAATAAGCAAATGTACATCATAGTGACAAGTTAAAAAATCAAATAAATACTGCCACTGCTGGACTTCAAAAAAATAAATAAATCTGCAGTAAGCTCAAAGAGAAAGAACTTTATCTATAAAGAGTGCTGGAACTTATACATACTCATCTAGATAAATTCTCATGTATAGGCAAACTCAATAAGGAACAAACCAAAGAGTCAGCCAGGAGGATTGATGTGTCAATTCTGAAGGATGCTTATGACACTATGAGCTGGTTTGATCTTCATGGATAAAATCCTGCTTCTAATGGCATTAATAGTTGTAATTTTGACAGCAGCAACATCACTGCTATNCTATGAGCTGGTTTGATCTTCATGGATAAAATCCTGCTTCTAATGGCATTAATAGTTTTAATTTTGACAGCAGCAACATAACTGCTAGNGGAGGATTGATGTGTCAATTCTGAAGGATGCTTATGACACTATGAGCTGGTTTGATCTTCATGGATAAAATCCTGCTTCTAATGGCATTAATAGTTGTAATTTTGACAGCAGCAACATCACTGCTATCATGCTGGAAAATTCTATTATTCCTGTGTCTTCACAAAACTATAAACGGTAGCTACTAAACAAATCTTTAGGAGTGAAAATCTGAACAATTTACCCTTCCATTCACTTGATGCCCTATGTATGAACTGAGGCAATGGGGTGGGATTCCATATAATGCCGCATTTTAACAACACATGACTACATATTTCAGCAGCAAATGAGCATTCAAAGAACAATTGTTTGTGTGTCTCATTCTCAGAACAAAGTGACCTCTGGTAACAGAAATAAGTGACTTCTATCTGTAGGATGTAAGGATGATTTGACCAAGCATTGTGATGACATCATAATGACTTGAAACCAATTTAACAAAACTGATATTGCCCCAAGACAAAATATTCCAATGACATGGAGTACGGTGCAAGAATGGTTAGACCCAAACTTCAGACCTGGCATCAAAGCCAAAAGTAAAACCATTTTGTCGTCACTAAAAGTGCTTCGAGACATAATCTTCCAATGACAGCTTCTGGTAGAACAAGACTAGATGCAATCTTCGTATCAATTAGTGAAAATTGTAGGAACCAAGACCACATGATGTTTAAGCACATAATTGCATTGAAAAGGAAAATCCTAAATTGACTCATAGAAGAGGAAATTATTTCAAAGATGGAAACAAGATTTATTAATATCTTCAATTACTTTAGTTTTCATTAAGAGGGATCCAAAAAAAATGATATCAACTTCAAGCATGATGTGAAGCAGTTCTTAGAAAGATATTGCAGCCATATTTAGTTGTAAAGGTTTATGTAGGAGTCTTTTCATAAGAATGGTTGCATAGTATCTGTTCTGAAGTTAGAGTACTACGAATGGAGGCTTTTTACGTAACCACTGCAGGTACAGGGTCATTCTGCCTAGTTTTAGGATCTTGTGAAAACCTAAAACAAGCAGCAGCTCGAGATGGAAAGCCTCCAACAAGTAGAAATTTGAGTGTTTTGTAAAAAAATTTTGTTGATCTCTCACCTCCAGTTCTCTTCCTCTTCTTCTAATTCTGACTTCCAGCACACACACTATCTCTCTCTCTCATCTCTGCATTTTCTCGGAATTCTCTTTTTCTTACCTTATTCTTTCTTTTCTTGAAAACTCGAGGAATTGCTAGTGGACTCGTCAATTTAATTTCCTGCTTTTCTTTCCATCTTCTTTTATCTTTCTAACCTCATCAGAAGTGCCTCGGAAGCACCAAGTTCATCAAAGCCACAACAAAAGGATACTCGTCTGATGTCCATCACCGTCTCTCTTGGAAAACATGTATAATGTATTGAATTGGCAAGGCCATCCATTGGTTCTATGAGCATTAAAGATCGGACAGGAGTTCTAGTTTGTAGCTTTAATCTCAAGGATGAAGGGAGAGAGAAAATTTGAGATTTTAGGTCAATGAGCTTGATAGGGTATGTTTAGAGGTTATTTACTGAATTCTTGCTTTTTGCCTCAAGAATTTGGTATAAGATGTCTCAGAAAAATTATATAGATATGACAGAAATGAAACTCCATTTTTAACATAAATCCATAATCTCCTCAACATAAATCTGCCAAAATACGCCCAAATGTCACTTTGTGAAACATAAGACGGACGACATCCTAAGATAATTTGAAGAATTGATGGTAAGTTGATAACAGAAAAAGCTCTCAAGAACTGACGTCCACAGGAATTGTGTGGACATGATTTCGTCATTTTCATGGAAATCCTGTTTTCTTACCTTATTCTCTCTCTCTCTCTCTCTCACACACACACACACACACACACTTCATTTTCTCGAAAATCTCCTTTTCTTCCCTTATTCTCTCTTTTCTTGTAAGCTTGAGGAACTGCTAGTGGACTCAAGGGTTTATTTTCCTTCGTCTTCTCTTCCGATCTTCTTTTGTCTTCCTTACCTCAAGATCTACAATCTCATTGACATAAATTTTCCAAAAGGTGCCCTAACTTCACTTTGTGAAACTGAAACATAAGAAGGGGACAACATCCAAAAATGGATCAAATAATGAATGGTACCAGCAAAATCTCTCGAGACATGATACCCACAGATAGTTTGTGAATCATAAGCAAAGATCAATTTTATCCCTTGTTCGGTATAGAGGAAATGCTTCAGTAGCTCTAATAACACAATACTTACGCTGGTTTGTGCCAGAAAAGTAACCAAGATACCAGTTGCATCCTACTTACCCCAGCCCGTCACCAAGAGTAACCATTTTCAATAAAATATCTTCTACAATATCCTTCTTATGAGAAACAACCTCATTGGTCAGCGAACGATGGCTGAAATATTAACTAACATAAACAGTAAAAGCAATCAGTAATTAAAACAAGCTGATTGTTAGCACAAAAAACACTCTCGAGATATATTTAGGGATGGTTATCAAAGTGAAGCACATAGCGGAACTATAGTATACCTAAACATATCTGCTAAACATAATTTTGACAGCTATGTAATAGCGGAACTATAGTATACCTAAACATATCTGTTAAACATAATTTTGACAGCTATGTAATATNGGGATGGTTATCAAAGTGAAGCACATAGCGGAACTATAGTATACCTAAACATATCTGTTAAACATAATTTTGACAGCTATGTAATACAAAACAAAACAGAATAAATAAGCAAACACTGGTTTTTCCCACTAATCCTAACTACAGTCAAGGTAAAGACAAATGGCTTTAAAGATGAATTCTACGAACACTTGCCTCATAGCTTGCCAGACTATCCTTTTCACTGCAATGTTTGTTACCGCATACGAACTGCCCTGACAATCAAGGATACTGAGTCAACCCTAATTCTTAGTGCCATTACCATCTATTGGAGTACCCAAGAGAACAAATATGCCAGATTCCAATAATGAAGTTGCAAATTAAGAGTTGTCACAACTAAAAACTTCTGATCGTTAGCGCACACACAAAAGTTTGAGTTTTGGACATGAGAACATTTTAAAATAAAAAAGAAAATTAAATTTAATCTTTACCATCTATTGAACTAAACCAAATCTAATACAAAGCCTCAGGAAAAATTGGACCAAACATCTAGGTTCAAACTGAATAGGTAAAGCCAAAAAACTGGAGAACTGATGATTTGAGCCACCAATTACAAAATTTTCAATGTACTAAACCTTCCGAGTTCCTTTCACTTGTGGAACACTGTTTTGTTTTGGAGGGGCTTAGTGGAAGGCTTTAGTCACTTTATGAAGGCTAACCAATGCAACTTAGATTGGTTCTCTAGCTATTACATTATTCATTGTTAGGAATATTATGGGACTTCGATATCTGCATCGACATCTGCTTAAATTAGAATTGATTCCCATTTCCATAGACAATAGAGTATAACAACCATTTCAATTAACATAAAAGTTAAGAATGGATCTTAATCCCATTGATTTGCATCATCTAAACAAAATTGCAAATGGTTGTTAGAAAAGTCTTACAGTCAAGATCAGTTCTTGAGCTATAAATTTTGGATTTGCAGCCCTTTGGTCATCTATGGCATAAACCCGACGTGTAGATGTTTCAAAATCATGTTGCAATGTAAGTACTCTTTAGATCATCCAAATTTCTTCTTTTTAAATCCTCACTGAAATGTTTAAGTCAATTCTGTGGAGGCTGGATTACTAGTGTGTACCTGTGCTCCTACATAGACTGCTCGAGTCACATTCCTTGAAGGCTAACTAGTAACTACATGACATTGAATATACTCAAAGATGGAAGTAATGACAATGATCTCTTCATAGTCAAAGGCATATATACTTTTGTTGATGGGAAACCTTGTTAAGAAATCCTATGTTCAAGTGAAAAAAGTATGTAACACTAAACCACAGGCTCGCTGTAGGGATCGAAAAGGAAGTAGTGAAGTCATGTAATCGGATATCATGATTTTTATTACTTTTTTAGTATTATTTTGTGATTAAGACTTTTTGAAATTTTAAATATTTATTTTTTAGATTACATAATAAGATTGCAAAAATAGTCGCTCTGCGTGTGGTGATAAGGTTGCATACATCTAATCCTCCCCAATTATTTAATTAGAGTGTATTTGAATTAATTATTTTGGGAGGAGAATTGTGTATTTCTTGACCTAAAACTTGCAAGGAGTTAGTAGTCTCTTTTGTCCCTATTCTTACCTTTAAGAAGGATCGAATAGGAATTAAATAAGTACATAATTGAAGACCAAGATGTCTATTATGTACTTAATGCTATTTTTTTNATTCTTACCTTTAAGAAGGATCGAATAGGAATTAAATAAGTACATAATTGAAGACCAGGATTTCTATTATGTACTTAATGCTATTTTTTGNCTGCATCGACATCTGCTTAAATTAGAATTGATTCCCATTTCCATAGACAATAGAGTATAACAACCATTTCAATTAACATAAAAGTTAAGAATGGATCTTAATCCCATTGATTTGCATCATCTAAACAAAATTGCAAATGGTTGTTAGAAAAGTCTTACAGTCAAGATCAGTTCTTGAGCTATAAATTTTGGATTTGCAGCCCTTTGGTCATCTATGGCATAAACCCGACGTGTAGATGTTTCAAAATCATGTTGCAATGTAAGTACTCTTTAGATCATCCAAATTTCTTCTTTTTAAATCCTCACTGAAATGTTTAAGTCAATTCTGTGGAGGCTGGATTACTAGTGTGTACCTGTGCTCCTACATAGACTGCTCGAGTCACATTCCTTGAAGGCTAACTAGTAACTACATGACATTGAATATACTCAAAGATGGAAGTAATGACAATGATCTCTTCATAGTCAAAGGCATATATACTTTTGTTGATGGGAAACCTTGTTAAGAAATCCTATGTTCAAGTGAAAAAAGTATGTAACACTAAACCACAGGCTCGCTGTAGGGATCGAAAAGGAAGTAGTGAAGTCATGTAATCGGATATCATGATTTTTATTACTTTTTTAGTATTATTTTGTGATTAAGACTTTTTGAAATTTTAAATATTTATTTTTTAGATTACATAATAAGATTGCAAAAATAGTCCCTCTGCGTGTGGTGATAAGGTTGCATACATCTAATCCTCCCCAATTATTTAATTAGAGTGTATTTGAATTAATTATTTTGGGAGGAGAATTGTGTATTTCTTGACCTAAAACTTGCAAGGAGTTAGTAGTCTCTTTTGTCCCTATTCTTACCTTTAAGAAGGATCGAATAGGAATTAAATAAGTACATAATTGAAGACCAGGATTTCTATTATGTACTTAATGCTATTTTTTGATTAGGACTTTATTGGAATTTTTATTATTTATTTATAGAACTATTTAGTATTTATCATATTAGGATTGTTTGCACAAGTTTGCTAGAGTTTTGGCAAGAGAGTAGTATTTATTTTTGTACTTGATCTATAAGAACTCTTGTATTCCCCTATTATTTGAATCAGGGTTGAATTTTGGTTGATTATCTCAGTGGATAATTGTGTTTCTTGACCTAATCTTGCAAATCTCTTGTTCTTTCTTTTTCCCTTCCCTCTAGGCATCAACTTGATCCTGCAAAAGGTAATAGGCAGTCTTATAGCTAAAACTAGATCTTGGGTTCCCACCAATGACATTGAAAGTGGTGCAACTGATTGATTCCCCCTTTATATGACTAATAAAGTTGTACCCTACTGTTTGTTTTTTACTTTATTTAGGTCGTCTCGTTTATAATCTCAACACAATGAAATGTAAGGTACTGACTACTAAATTGAGAAAGAAACAATCTAATGATTCTGTTAGCACTACTGGAAATTGGGTTGACCACAAAAAGGAAGATATTTACAAAAAAAAAAAAAAACCACATAAAAATTAATAACTCTTATTTCACTAGGCCAAAATTAGTCAAAGAGATAAGGAGCTTTTGGAATTCTTTTGGGGAGCTCCAATCTTCCTTATTTCAAGCATTGATAGTTAGCATTTAGCAAGGCCAATGAAAGTCATCGTTGGCATCACAACAATGAAAAAGGAGCACGAAGTATCTAAACAAAAGCAAGGGCACAAAAACCTTGCTTCCATCGTACATGGATGAGTGATCAACAAAATACTACATAATAAATTCAAGCAATGATTTACCCAATGAAAGGAAAACTAAAGTTACGAGAGGAAAGTACCTTTCCCAGCTATTACTTCTTTTTCAGTCCTCCACCTGAGGCCAACCTACGAGAAAATTATCATTAATATGAATTAAGATTTTCAGAAGTTGTTCACAAATAAAAACTAATACATGAGAGGAAAATCAAAACCAACATTAGGAAATATGTATTTGGGTTTACTCCCACAGTATATAAAATTATTAGAAGTAAACAATTTTCTAAATTCCAACATATTTTATTTTTTTATTGTGAGGTAGTAGCTTGCATGTTAAGGATCTTTGCATGAGGAGCCAGGCCTAATAAGAAGTATCACACTAGCATGCAAAACATACATTAAATATGTATGCAAATATGTGTATATCCTCGGCAGCTCATGCCAGACATCCAAGGATTAGAAAGAGTCGGTTCCTTTTTTCATTCAGATAAGCGTCAGATAAACCAGTGATCCTTCNACTAGCATGCAAAACATACATTAAATATGTATGCAAATATGTGTATATCCTCGGCAGTTCATGCCAGACATCCAAGGATTAGAAAGAGTCGGTTCCTTTTTTCATTCAGATAAGCGTCAGATAAACTAGTGATCCTTTGACCTTAATAAGAGAGTGCGGGGAACATAGTATTTTGGCAATTGATCCCTCAGAGCATGAGATGATAGATTTATAGACATCTGAGGCCGATATAAGCTCGTTGCAGTCACTTGGGTGAGTTTTACAGGTCTTTGGGCATGGAGTTGATTTGCATCACAAACTATCTATGTCCTCTCTTTGTTCTAGTTTGGCACAGTAAAACTTTTCCACGCTCCTAAAAATTTGTACTCTCCTATTCTACTTTAATGACTAAGAACATCTCCAACCATAACTCAAATTTTTACTCAAATTTAAATTAATATTTGACTAAAAAGCTTGATTTGATATATATAATTCCAATGGACAAACTCAAATTTAAAGAGGGAGATACCCAATTTAAAGGAGGGCAAACCTAAATGTAAAAGGGAGTAAAGATGATCATTGGATCTTTAAAAGATGGTGAAATCTTACCATTAAAGATTTTAGTAAAGATTTGATGGGTTGGAGCAAGTTTTTTAATTTTTTTTACTCAATTTTAAATTTGAGCAAGGGTTGGAGATGCCCTAAGTTGTTCTCACCCCTGTGGGAGAGGAGGAATAATGAAAGAGCATCATCAAACACTTATCTAAATATATGTGCCACCATATGCTTACATACCCTGCCACTCTTGTACTGTGACATATCAGCTATGCAGTATCTTCAATGAGTTCAAGGGAATACACAGAACTCTCATCATCTCTGCTGGGTAGCAGCAGATCACTTTAGTTTGAAAGTCAAAAACATGCTTGCAAATATATTAGATAAGATATGTCTATTCTCCATTGCAATAACAAAAAAATGTTGCATAGTGTATAGGGTACCAAAAATGTGTTGACATACTTCTGTTGTTCGAAAGAACTCAACAAGACTGTGCAGTATCAAGTAAGAAACCATAGGTATGCTCAAAATACAATGACCAAGAGTGATGTAGCTTGTAACCATGACTAAAATAGAGAAAAATCAAGAAGCAGACATACTGGTCCATCATATGCGGTAGGACACAGCATAGATGGTGTGAGAGACACAAACTTAAAGAGGAGACTGGAGGCAAACAAGTTGAAGCCCAAGCATATGAAAATGCTTTCATGGTTAGGGCATAAGGTGTAACATGGAAGTGAAAAGATGAAAATTGACAGATTTTTCTCTCTTTTTTTTAGTTTGGGTGGTGGCAGCGACAGCGGCGGTGGCGAGGGGGATACAATTGCACCACCATCCATTATTCTTTGCTAGAAGTGAGAAGAAGATAGGAACAAAGCATGGATTCCAATTTAACAAAAACAAAATCCAAGCAACTTCTATTGCACGCGTCTCTTAAATGGTGTACACCTTCCAAACAGCCATAGTTGACAAAGCACCATCCAATACCAGTATGATGCATTCAATTAATTACTCCCAAGTTCAAGTATTTGAAATAATTTAATAAGGTGAGATTGCTTCTGCTTGCAAAGGATACTCTTTAAAAAGCTTGTCATAGTAGCGCTTCACAAGCCTTTGTTCCCAAGACAGATTCATATCATCTTCCTCAGAACGTATAAACCTATTGTAAATACAAAAATTGAACAAAAAAATTAACAAATATCAACACAGAATAATAAGACCATGGTAATAACAAGCCAACCAAAGCATAAAAGATACGCCACAGTACTTCATATGTATTGCAACTCCTTAAAAAACAAAACCAGGCGTAGTAGATAGGAAGAAATTCAATTAATGAACATCTAGATGCAAAAAAAACTTTTGTCCTGATCTAGTATATTAGTACTGAGAATTGTAAGAGTGTAAGTTCAATAATCATATAGCCATGAGACAGATTAACTATATAACACACACCAAAAAAAATGAAAAAGGAAATAAATGAATGAAAATTTTAAATAAAGGAAGAAAGAAAAGGAGGGAAAAAAATTACAACATATATCACAAATGCATGGAGAATCCATCAGGGATGAATGCGAATGCGATTCTATGGGTACCTTCCCCACCCCACCTCTAATGAAATAGGGTGGTTAATACAGGTTTAGGGAGAAATTCATAAACTGGAGCTCAATTCAAGCGTGGTCAAAATTAACAGATAGTTGGAAACCCTATCCCAACTCGGTTTTTGAAACATGACCAAGATACTGCTTTCATCTCTTGTGTTCCCAATAGAATGATGCAGTCGCTACTATCGTGTAAAGAAATGAGAAATAATAAGAAATTATCCCAACACAGTTATTGAAACATGGCCAAGATACTGCCTTCATCTCTTGTGTTCCCACTAGAATGATGTAGTCGCTACTATTGTGTAAAGAAATGAGCAACAATAAGAAATTATTTGTTATTCAAGCAAGCAAAATAAAAAATGTCAAATCATCAGCAATATAATATAAGTAACCAGGCAAAAAATTCTCCAATCAACAAGAAGGAGAATCATATAGAAATTCTCAATTGAACAAAAGCAAAAATAAAATGAGAATATCCAATTAGCAATGAAATATGGATGTAGTCCATGCTATTAGACACTAGAGAGCATAGCCAGATAGAGATGGAGAGAGCTTGTACATAGTAATTTAGACATCCGAAAGAAGTCTTGCAGTGAAGCCTCTTAAAAGAGTATTGTGGATTAGCAGTCTAATCCATCACTATAAAGAGCCAAAGATCAATTTGGTAATAACTTCTCTAACAGGTGTAATCTATGAAAAATGTTTAAGCCAGCCTCATTCTCCTTTCTCTCTTTGTACTTTCTTAGTAGTACCCATATTAGAAAGCAACATGTGATAATGGGTTTAAAATTCCAACCACACCAAAAATAAAAAGGAAAGAGAACAAGTCCTCAAGAAATTTCCAAATTACCACAATTACAATTAAATCAATGTCTCTCGCCTTAGTAATCTCTTAAGGACTCCTTGTCCTCTTATGTACTTCTTCCTTTTTATTCATCTTAATAATATTCATTCGTTTCCTGTCCAAAAAAAATATTTAATCAATGTCAAAAGCCCCAATAAAATAACAGAAAATTACTGAACAACGGTATCCTTACACTTGAAGCCAATAGCATTAATTAGCATACCCCAAAATCCCAAGTCCCTTAATTTGTAACCAAAGCCACTATTAAAATCATATCACCAACAAATCCTACATCTAAAAACCATCCAAAACCTAGCATTACTGAACAATCAATCCACAATTCAAAATAAAACCAACAGAAAATATAGGACCAATATACATACAAACATATCAAATAATATTATCAAAGTTGCTTATGCACGTGTGACAAAATGTTGAGTTGGAAAGAGCAAAATGATGATCATACCGATATCCTTCTCTCAGAGTGTCTTGATCAGTTTTAACAGGCAATTTTTCTTTTGTTGATCTTTCTTTTCCATAAAAGTCAACTGTGAACAAACATAACAATATCAAAAGATTGTTACTTCGAAACAAAATATTGGTCAATAATAATAGGTATCATCAGTGTTAAAATCAAGGTAAAACAAAAAAAAAAACACTAAGTCCTTCCTTTTCCTCACAATACATAGATATATCATTTCTAAAATTTCAAGAACAATACCTCAGATGTAATGCGATAAGGTTGTGTACAATGTGTGACCTGGGCATCATAAATTTGAGTTACATAAACCACATTTGGGTATGAGTATAACGTTACGTACATTTGATCCTCCCCAAATCCTAGAATGGCGAGGACACCATGGACCAGCACATATTTTTCTAATAGTACAAAAAAAATGCTTCTTTACAACACATTGTCGTAGATCTTGTAGGATACTGATGCTGGATCTTTATTTTAACCACCAAACCAGTTTGACTACATATTTGTCTCGGTGCATTGCTTTAGTCACCTAAGAAATGGTCCGTTTCGTAAAGATTTCAAACATAAAATGGAAACGGAGAATTGTTTCCAAAAACATCGGTCAAAACACCCTCGAAAGATTGACCGAAGCACTCAAAACATATTGAAGCGTACCAAACCACCTCCAAATATAAGGACTTTGATATTCAATCAATAATTAGTTTTGGTTTCTATGAAAATAAAAATATTTCAACCGCTTCAAAACAAAATTTTGATCCTTCATAGTAAGATTCAAGGGGTGTGAGGCTCGAGAGAAAGATTGTGTGAGATGAAAGTGTTGGGACCATGCTGGGCTTATAGGATAGTGGAAAATAAGTACTTTGGTGGTCATCTTGTGACAGTTCAAGGCTTCAAACACTGATTTGTAACTTGCAAGATTTTGTGCATTTTGAGTGGTTGGAGATGAATCTTAGGTTGAATGAAGAGATTGGACTCTGAAGTGAAGGTTATGGGCTTGAAAGGAGAGGATTATTGGTCGGCTGGTCGGTAGAAAATGTTGTGATTAATAGGGAAGAGAGGAGAACATTAAGGCAGAGAATCCTATGAGTCACATCCTCAAATGACTGGAAATGTCATCTGATTGGTTAAAGTGGTAGTTCCCTTTTGGCGATATAGGAATTATATACCTATAGCAATTCAAGCATTGCTTCTAAGAGAGGTCGTCGAAGACGGTGGTCTCCTAATATTCACAAATACAAAGTTCCAGGGAATCAAAACCTCTAATTTGAGGAAATCAAATTGTCCAATCATCAAGTCAAAACCATAAGGATATGTATAAATGCTTTATCTATAAAACTACATGGAACAACCGTTTTTGGGAAGGACTTACATATGGATCAGGCACCCTAGCCACAAACACCACACCTTTAATAGACAGATGATCCCAAGGATGATCTACAACTACTTTGATTTAATAGACAGATGATCAAAGGCCAATATAATACAAAACAATGGACACAAAGACATAATTGTATCATTGTAATGTGTGAACAATGGCAACATAAAAAGACCTTAAAAAAAGAAGAAATAAATGCATGCAAATTAGCTCAAAAATATATGTTTTTCACTGTGTACTTAACTCAGAGACACTGACACGACATACACCCCAAAACCAATTCTTGTTGATATGGCCACTTTGTAGTGTAGGCCTGAACTTTCTTGATAACTATTTATCCCGTGGTTACCTAAAACTTTGTGATAAAAAAGTCAGCATTCAACTTTCTTACCACAATAATTGTTTCGTTAACAATACAAATAAAATGTCTGAGTGATTGTAGCCCCCTTCCTTCTTTAAAGGAGGAGATTGTTCATCGCACATTTGTTATAGGACACTAGGATCCAACAAATAAAGAACTCATTATTTGCATGCTTCCTTTGTGTCCAATTGTTTCTCAATAAGCTAACTTTATTTNTTTTTTTTTTTTTTTTTTTTTTTTTTTTTTTTTTGGGGGGGGGGGAAGGGAGAAGGAGGCAATGGTCAACGCACCTATTGATAAGAATCAAGACTTTCGTCAAACAAAGTAAAGATTACAAAGTAGTAGACAAAGAATCCAACCTATGAAAGGATAAAAATTAGCAAAAGAAAGAAAAGAAAATGCATTGAAAAAATTTAAAATAGAAAAAACAAGCAGTTCATTTAACTATAAGCACAATCCAATCAAGATTAAGGGCAAAAGAAGGCACACCCATAAATTCTTCTGCATTGAAGTTCAAAGGGAAGCCAAGAATTTTACTATATTCTAAATAAACTGCCCACATTCTTCTTTTACCTTTAAAGATTCTATTATTCATTTCCTTCCGTACAACCCAAAAAATAGCCATAACCACACACTCCCACGAGATAGAAGTTTTTCTCCCCTTTTTAAAAAATGACATAAGATTGTCTGAAGTGAAGCAACACAACCTCTTAGAATTACCAACTCAAACTAAACTCACCAATAACTAAACTCTTTGTTTATATAAACATTTAAAGTCTTCTCCTATGTATACTATGTATCCTACATGGATTTCTCATATTAGTACATCCATATGTCCTCAAGGAGTTTTAAAATGTTCATAAAATTCTACTTCATGTATAAAGGCACTTATACTACTAATTGTATTCTCTATTAATACGAATTTTAGCAAATATTATTACTACTATTTTCCTACAAATAGCTGCTACTCCATGTTTAAGGTTCGGACCCATTATTATTCCAACTCTATTTTATGTTTGTTTAGATTGTATACCCTTTAACTTTTATTTCACTTCCTTTTTTCCCCACTCACCAAGTTTCTAGCAACCATATTATATTAATATTTCTTGTAATCTTAGTTTCAAGTACCTTTATTCATTTTTCTTATGTTTCAAATTGCTAACCTAAAAACTTTAATACATAAACTAACTTTTTTACACATATTTTATCCAAAGTTATAAAAAACTTTGTACATTTTTTCACCATATTTGGATGACTGAAAGCACATCCTTTGCCAATTTTTCCAAAAAAGGGTTGTGGCACAACATATCACTTAGGAAAAATTCAATAACATATACGCAGATGTTTTCAAGATTTCGTCATAAGAGATCTAAAAAGTTCAACGTTGACTATGAGCTACAAAGCGTATCCCTCCTCATTTAATCAAGACTGAGATCGGTGGTATTATTGGTATTGGTAAAGACTAAATACAAGACAAACATACGAGATGGAGGCTTATCTAATCTTCTGAACTAAGTCAACTAACAAGACAACAAAAATGAAGGCTTCGAACAGCTATTTCACTGGTTTTTGCCCTAAAGATGGAAAGAGCTAGCTTAAAGAAGCATACAATCACTATGGCTCACAAGATGCAAATGGCAGTGGTAAATCTTTTTTTTTTTTTTGGTCAGACTGTGGTAAAGTTCAATGTCAAACAAACATAACTCATTTTTTGCACTCTAACATCCACAAGGCTCTTGGCAAAATGAGTACTGATCGACAAAACTCTTCTTTTTGAGAACATGACTCTTCTTTTTTTAATCTTTTCTTCTCTTNCAATAATAATAGGTATCATCAGTGTTAAAATCAAGGTAAAACAAAAAAAAAACACTAAGTCCTTCCTTTTCCTCACAATACATAGATATATCATTTCTAAAATTTCAAGAACAATACCTCAGATGTAATGCGATAAGGTTGTGTACAATGTGTGACCTGGGCATCATAAATTTGAGTTACATAAACCACATTTGGGTATGAGTATAACGTTACGTACATTTGATCCTCCCCAAATCCTAGAATGGCGAGGACACCATGGACCAGCACATATTTTTCTAATAGTACAAAAAAAATGCTTCTTTACAACACATTGTCGTAGATCTTGTAGGATACTGATGCTGGATCTTTATTTTAACCACCAAACCAGTTTGACTACATATTTGTCTCGGTGCATTGCTTTAGTCACCTAAGAAATGGTCCGTTTCGTAAAGATTTCAAACATAAAATGGAAACGGAGAATTGTTTCCAAAAACATCGGTCAAAACACCCTCGAAAGATTGACCGAAGCACTCAAAACATATTGAAGCGTACCAAACCACCTCCAAATATAAGGACTTTGATATTCAATCAATAATTAGTTTTGGTTTCTATGAAAATAAAAATATTTCAACCGCTTCAAAACAAAATTTTGATCCTTCATAGTAAGATTCAAGGGGTGTGAGGCTCGAGAGAAAGATTGTGTGAGATGAAAGTGTTGGGACCATGTTGGGCTTATAGGATAGTGGAAAATAAGTACTTTGGTGGTCATCTTGTGACAGTTCAAGGCTTCAAACACTGATTTGTAACTTGCAAGATTTTGTGCATTTTGAGTGGTTGGAGATGAATCTTAGGTTGAATGAAGAGATTGGACTCTGAAGTGAAGGTTATGGGCTTGAAAGGAGAGGATTATTGGTCGGCTGGTCGGTAGAAAATGTTGTGATTAATAGGGAAGAGAGGAGAACATTAAGGCAGAGAATCCTATGAGTCACATCCTCAAATGACTGGAAATGTCATCTGATTGGTTAAAGTGGTAGTTCCCTTTTGGCGATATAGGAATTATATACCTATAGCAATTCAAGCATTGCTTCTAAGAGAGGTCGTCGAAGACGGTGGTCTCCTAATATTCACAAATACAAAGTTCCAGGGAATCAAAACCTCTAATTTGAGGAAATCAAATTGTCCAATCATCAAGTCAAAACCATAAGGATATGTATAAATGCTTTATCTATAAAACTACATGGAACAACCGTTTTTGGGAAGGACTTACATATGGGTCAGGCACCCTAGCCACAAACACCACACCTTTAATAGACAGATGATCCCAAGGATGATCTACAACTACTTTGATTTAATAGACAGATGATCAAAGGCCAATATAATACAAAACAATGGACACAAAGACATAATTGTATCATTGTAATGTGTGAACAATGGCAACATAAAAAGACCTTAAAAAAAGAAGAAATAAATGCATGCAAATTAGCTCAAAAATATATGTTTTTCACTGTGTACTTAACTCAGAGACACTAACACGACATACACCCCAAAACCAATTCTTGTTGATATGGCCACTTTGTAGTGTAGGCCTGAACTTTCTTGATAACTATTTATCCCGTGGTTACCTAAAACTTTGTGATAAAAAAGTCAGCATTCAACTTTCTTACCACAATAATTGTTTCGTTAACAATACAAATAAAATGTCTGAGTGATTGTAGCCCCCTTCCTTCTTTAAAGGAGGAGATTGTTCATCGCCCATTTGTTATAGGACACTAGGATCCAACAAATAAAGAACTCATTATTTGCATGCTTCCTTTGTGTCCAATTGTTTCTCAATAAGCTAACTTTATTTTTTTTTTATTATTTTTTTTTTTTTTTGGGGGGGGGGGAAGGGAGAAGGAGGCAATGGTCAACGCACCTATTGATAAGAATCAAGACTTTCGTCAAACAAAGTAAAGATTACAAAGTAGTAGACAAAGAATCCAACCTATGAAAGGATAAAAATTAGCAAAAGAAAGAAAAGAAAATGCATTGAAAAAATTTAAAATAGAAAAAACAAGCAGTTCATTTAACTATAAGCACAATCCAATCAAGATTAAGGGCAAAAGAAGGCACACCCATAAATTCTTCTGCATTGAAGTTCAAAGGGAAGCCAAGAATTTTACTATATTCTAAATAAACTGCCCACATTCTTCTTTTACCTTTAAAGATTCTATTATTCATTTCCTTCCGTACAACCCAAAAAATAGCCATAACCACACACTCCCACGAGATAGAAGTTTTTCTCCCCTTTTTAAAACATGACATAAGATTGTCTGAAGTGAAGCAACACAACCTCTTAGAATTACCAACTCAAACTAAACTCACCAATAACTAAACTCTTTGTTTATATAAACATTTAAAGTCTTCTCCTATGTATACTATGTATCCTACATGGATTTCTCATATTAGTACATCCATATGTCCTCAAGGAGTTTTAAAATGTTCATAAAATTCTACTTCATGTATAAAGGCACTTATACTACTAATTGTATTCTCTATTAATACGAATTTTAGCAAATATTATTACTACTATTTTCCTACAAATAGCTGCTACTCCATGTTTAAGGTTCGGACCCATTATTATTCCAACTCTATTTTATGTTTGTTTAGATTGTATACCCTTTAACTTTTATTTCACTTCCTTTTTTCCCCACTCACCAAGTTTCTAGCAACCATATTATATTAATATTTCTTGTAATCTTAGTTTCAAGTACCTTTATTCATTTTTCTTATGTTTCAAATTGCTAACCTAAAAACTTTAATACATAAACTAACTTTTTTACACATATTTTATCCAAAGTTATAAAAAACTTTGTACATTTTTTCACCATATTTGGATGACTGAAAGCACATCCTTTGCCAATTTTTCCAAAAAAGGGTTGTGGCACAACATATCATTTAGGAAAAATTCAATAACATATACGCAGATGTTTTCAAGATTTCGTCATAAGAGATCTAAAAAGTTCAACGTTGACTATGAGCTACAAAGCGTATCCCTCCTCATTTAATCAAGACTGAGATCGGTGGTATTATTGGTATTGGTAAAGACTAAATACAAGACAAACATACGAGATGGAGGCTTATCTAATCTTCTGAACTAAGTCAACTAACAAGACAACAAAAATGAAGGCTTCGAACAGCTATTTCACTGGTTTTTGCCCTAAAGATGGAAAGAGCTAGCTTAAAGAAGCATACAATCACTATGGCTCACAAGATGCAAATGGCAGTGGTAAATCTTTTTTTTTTTTTTGGTCAGACTGTGGTAAAGTTCAATGTCAAACAAACATAACTCATTTTTTGCACTCTAACATCCACAAGGCTCTTGGCAAAATGAGTACTGATCGACAAAACTCTTCTTTTTGAGAACATGACTCTTCTTTTTTTAATCTTTTCTTCTCTTTTTTTTCATGTCATTTATTTGAATCAGTAGAGGACTACTTGTCCTCCACCGTACCCTATTTATATTATCAAAAAACTCTTAGGTTTACGATTAAAAAATTGAGTATTGGTTGATGTCACGGCACTTGCATCAAATTGAAGTGTTATTCAACCAAATTAATCTAAAACCGATCATATGGCGCACGAAAGGTCAGGGCAAGAACAATTATCCACATTAACAATAAACAACGATGATATCACATACAATTTGAATTAAATAAATCAATTAACAGGAAAAAAAAATCACTGATATTTATATATACAATTATATAATCATGTTACTGTTAAAGAATGTTGAACTGACCATAATCATCCAAAAACTTCTTGTGGCGATCGTATGCGTTGAGCCCTCGTATATGAGATTGATACTGCCTGCATAAACAGCAACTTTGTGAGCTTTACGTAAACTAATTAACATATACATTCACACACGACACGCGCACGCAAATACATAGAGAGAGAGAGAGAGAGAGAGATGCACTGTTTCCGAGCTTCTCTGTCGAAGATTTGGGACTTGAGAGCCCCGAAAGAGGCCATTTCTCCCGAATTCTGAGGAAAACCCTAACTATCGCTTCTTTATATTGAGCAACTAAAAGTGAAGAAGCTTCAAACCCGTTCAACCGCAGATCGATGATCGCCGCAGCCCGGCAAAGTAAAGCGTGATCGAATGGAAAGCAAATTTTGGTTATGGGTGGCTCCGCTGATGGCCCAAGGGCTGATGGACTGCTCGACTAGCTAACAGCCCGTCGGGCTAACGGACAGCCTGGTTAACGTGTGAGCCCGGTGAGTAGAGATGGAGGCTGATAATTTTTTGGTAAGAAAGATGAAAAATTGGGTTGAATAATTGTGACGGAAGGAAAGTTATTTTCTCTTTTTTTAGTTTGGTACGAGGGATAGAAAATAGAAGAGATATATTTTTTATGATTTAGTATTAGATGAAAAATGAAAGGAAAAGAAAATTATACATATCCAATTTTACAATTCTACCCTTTAANTCAAATTGTCCAATCATCAAGTCAAAACCATAAGGATATGTATAAATGCTTTATCTATAAAACTACATGGAACAACCGTTTTTGGGAAGGACTTACATATGGGTCAGGCACCCTAGCCACAAACACCACACCTTTAATAGACAGATGATCCCAAANATGCTTTATCTATAAAACTACATGGAACAACCGTTTTTGGGAAGGACTTACATATGGATCAGGCACCCTAGCCACAAACACCACACCTTTAATAGACAGATGATCCCAAGNGAAAATTAACCTACATGAAATCTTCTTACAAAAAGTCATCAACTACATTTTTTTTTTGGGAACCTCGACGGTGCAAGTAGATTTTATTGATTAAAAAATTAAATTATACCTAACGAATGAGGACATATGTATCTTACCTCTCAATACAATATGATTACAATAATGAAGGAAATAAAATTCTAATGCATGATAATTACATGGAATANAAGATGATCTACAACTACTTTGATTTAATAGACAGATGATCAAAGGCCAATATAATACAAAACAATGGACACAAAGACATAATTGTATCATTGTAATGTGTGAACAATGGCAACATAAAAAGACCTTAAAAAAAGAAGAAATAAATGCATGCAAATTAGCTCAAAAATATATGTTTTTCACTGTGTACTTAACTCAGAGACACTAACACGACATACACCCCAAAACCAATTCTTGTTGATATGGCCACTTTGTAGTGTAGGCCTGAACTTTCTTGATAACTATTTATCCCGTGGTTACCTAAAACTTTGTGATAAAAAAGTCAGCATTCAACTTTCTTACCACAATAATTGTTTCGTTAACAATACAAATAAAATGTCTGAGTGATTGTAGCCCCCTTCCTTCTTTAAAGGAGGAGATTGTTCATCGCACATTTGTTATAGGACACTAGGATCCAACAAATAAAGAACTCATTATTTGCATGCTTCCTTTGTGTCCAATTGTTTCTCAATAAGCTAACTTTATTTTATTTTTATTTTTATTTTTTTTTTGGGGGGGGG